CTATTGTATATGCTATCTCCATTACAGGAGACATGGTAGTAATATGTTCATAACAGTCACTTGATTGATATCTTTTGCCAAGATGTTGATGTTAGTATTGTCTTGATGTCAAAGGTCAAAGGAAAAGCAAGATGTTGAAAGTAGATGTCTTAAAGAGCAGTATGCATTAATTTGAGGATGTGCTTCTAAATTTATTAAAATGTTCTAGAATAGGAAAAAAGCCCACCCCAGCATCTCTGTAAGTTATTTGAAGTGTTGACATGTATTTCAGAATAGAAGTTCCTTTTATGTTCCTAGTACTAAGTTAATGGTATAATTGAACATCAGTTTCACCTTAAGGTGTTATGTGCTACTTGAGAAAATAGTGGCAGCTCTTTCAAGGACAGAGAACTACTTGCAGATTCTAAAGGAAGGGTAATTTCTTGATAAAGTTAATAAGCTGAACCAGGAGATTATTTTGTCATTCTTAAAACTGTCCTGATATGAATCCCTACAAAAAAAAAAAAAAAAAAAAAGGACTAAGATGTAATTTCTCTGCCTTGGCCTTGTGTTTATAAAGTAGCTTCTTTCAGTGTTACAGGTCAAGCTTGTACTTCTGTATTATTTGTTTCACAACTGAATTTTTAAACTAAATAAGAATTGACCTAATTTATCAGAGAAATGAGTCTAGCACTAGTTCCTTGACACCCTGGAAGGACAGAAAGGAAATGGTTATGTTAGTTCACTAAAGGTAGTTTTGTCAAGTGCTTTTGGATTGCTGTTTCTTTAACCGGTTGTCTTTAGATACTAAATTTGGGCAGTAGATAATTTTTTTGTTTACGTGTGTTCTTTTAAACTTCCTTGAAAAGGCCACAGAGCTGTGTATATTGGAGTTCACGTCCCACTTGGCAAGCCAGGTCGTCGACGGCATAGACATCGTGGGCACAAGCACCACAGAAGAAAAAAAGACAAAGAAACTGATAGAGAGGATGGCAGAGAGTCTCCATCATACGGTAAGAAGTTTGTGTGTGTTTTTTATGTCTCCTGAAAACAAAGTTGTAGTAGTTACTCTGTGCTTAAATGCTGTTTGTTTTGTGCTATTTCTTTTATTCTTGCTGTAATTAATGCCTTTTTGTGTACAGTCAGACAAGGATTTTGTGGTTGTGTTTTATCTAAGTCAGAAGCTGTTGGACTGGGTCCAGCTGTCTGCATGAATGTTCAGCAGCCTGCACTGAATAGGTTAGACTAGAGCTTTGTAATGCTCTCCTGTAGCATGAAAATTTGTGTTATTTAAATTAGACACCTTTTTTCAGATTGTGTAGTCGTGTATGCTTGTTCCTCTGATTTTTGAAACTAAGCATGTAGCTGTGAAAAGCAGCATTTGCCATGGTAATTTGATGAATGATCTTATTTTATTTAAATATTTACTTCAGCCTTCTTGCTGTCTGTTAGTAAAGGAATCGCACTGCCTCATAAGTTTTTGGTTTTGATCAGAAACTGTGCCCCCCCCCCCCCGCCCCCTCCCCCCCCAGCTATTATCCTCAAGGGAGGACAATTTTGTCATATCATTCTCTGAAATGAAATTATTTGGCAGTATACTTAAGTTTTTCTTCAAGACCCTAAGTCCACTTTAATTCCTAAATTGCCATGAATGAGCAGATTATGGTGCAGTGTTTGAATTTAAGTGTGGACACCATACTGTTACCTTTCAATGACTAGCAGTGGGGCCAGTACCTGAAACAGAGAAGTTTTCAAACGGAAATGCTCTGACAAATCTTGGTTTCAACTATCTTCAAGGCCTCCCCTCCGAAATTATTTTGATGGGCATCATGTTTGTAGAATCTTGCTGTACAGCTTTTGAAGAAACAAGTGATATTAAATTGACAGAAATTCACTTCTCTGTTCCAGTTGGTTCTGTATACTATATGCACAGAGATTGGTAGGATTTTGGTGTGTGTTGGTTTTGGGATGGAAACAATCTGCTATAGACCTTAACTAATAATGAATGTTATTTGCATTCAAGAGCACATTTCAGAATGATGCTACTAGATGGTGGTATATAACAGAACAGAAATGCTAAAATAAAACTTAATTTAGAATGAACTTTTTTAGTAATGCAGATCTTATGTTTAAATCTAAAAGGCCATCTTCCTTCTACAGTAGAAGCCTACAGTTGTATATTCATATCTAACAACTGTCAGAGTGATGTTTCAGTGAACAAAGTTAAGATCTTTAAAACTTGAGAAAATTTAAAAAAAAATTAAAATTCAGGTGTACCTGGATTTTCTATCTCTGACCTTCCCTGAGATAATATTGCAATTAGTACATTTATTGTACCTTTGTAATATGAGAATTCACTTGAATCTTTGTATAAATATTAAAAGCATCTCTAAAATTATGTGGTTTAATTGGTGTTTTTTTTAAAAGTTTTACTCATATTAATTGAAATCCAGTACTTACTTGATCAATAAGGATATTTTAGTTTTATCGAGTTACTGAGCCCTTTCCACTAGGCACTATACTATGAGAAGTTAAAATAGTTTCTGAACACTTCAGCTACATAGTTTTCTACTTTCCTATGCTAATTTATACATACTGCTCCAACCATGCAATGAAAAATTTAATCCTACATAAATAGCAGCAGACCATAGAAAAATCTGCTGCTCTAACAGTCAGTGCCTAACTACTCACTGATGACTGTCTTGAACTGTGGCTTGGGCAGCTGATCTGTTTCCATCAGCCTGTTTTGTTTTAACTTTATCTTCTTTAGTGTCTTGTGTCATGATGGTATTAATTATTTTGTTCTCAAAATGAAAATAAGGTTTGGTATATTCTATTTTTTTTTAAACCAAATATAATCTTGATGTTAACTTTCATATTAGCAATCTATAGAAGAGCCAAGAACAGTTGGTTAATTTTCATAAACATGGATTTCCAGATGTTTTGTTTTCAGAAACAGTGCAAAGTTTTCAGAGAGCCTTCTTTTAAAGACATGTATATGTTTCATTTGTTCCTCTTCCCTCTTAAAGAGGATGTTGTACTGCATATTTCTAGCTGAGGGCAGGAGATTTTATTGTTAGGTAATGTTTCTTATTTCCTAAAAGTATGAATTCTTCTAATTATTTAGTTTCTCCTTTTCTTCAAGACACGCCATCCCAACGAGTGCAGTTTATCTTGGGTACTGAAGATGATGATGAACACATTCCTCATGATCTCTTCACTGAGATGGATGAACTTTGCTTCAGGGATGGAGAAGAATATGAATGGAGAGAAACTGCTAGGTATGTTTGGAGTAGGTGGTTTCAAGGTATATCTTATAGTAATTTTATTTTGAAGAATTGCAAACCAGGTTTGACTTATGAGTCCTCACTATCCGTAGGAGTTGTTTACTCAATTCTTGCACAGCAACCCAAAACTTTAGTTCTTCTTGTCAAACTCTGAAAAAATCAACATTGTTTTCAAGAGACCCTCAGTCTTTCTGGTGCTGTGTTCTCTTCCCTAGAACTGATCATACTGAACATTTTCAAAGGTAGCAGTATACCAAGTTATAAATATGGGTGTTCATCCATGGAGTGTGGTATTTTCAATCTCAGAAACCTCTTTGGTATGTTATTGCCAATATATTAGTATCATTTTTTTCTCAGACATAAGGAAAATTGGGTATTATGTTTTTTCTTGGGTAGTATTTGATTAGTTTTTGGCAAATCGTGTGCCTGACCATTACAGGATGCCATGATTGGTTTTGACCCATACTAGTGTACTAGCTTCCTTCTACTTGTGCATTGTGATGAATTCTTCTGCATTCAGTACTTCCAGCCACCTTGTTCCATGTTAAATTTTGTAGAAATTCAATTTGCATAATGCCTGTGAGTGGGAATCCAGTTTACAATTTCACATGTTAATATTGCCTAGTTCTTAAAAAAGTCTGACTTAGCAGCCTTAGGAGACTTGAGCATGCTGTATGGTATGTTTCAGACAGCTTTCTAATCCTAAAATACTAATGAAATCAATATGCAAGTCAGGTAATAAGGCAGAGAGCCATATTCTTCACAAGAACATGTGAATAGATAGATCAAGCCAAAAGAAACAAAATGGGTAAAAACTAAATCAGTTGAGTGTGGTTATTTAATAATTTGGCTGTCTGAGAAAATGAAAGCTGGTATGATTTAATGGGATTTTCTGTTTTATGTCATGCCTAAGCCACATGGAAGAGTGGGATTGTTTGCCAAATTTTCTTTCCAGGAGAAATATAAACGTGTACATGTGAATGCATTTCAGGTGGCTGAAGTTTGAAGAGGATGTTGAAGATGGCGGTGATCGATGGAGCAAGCCTTATGTAGCAACTCTGTCTCTGCACAGTCTCTTTGAACTGCGGAGCTTTATTCTTAATGGGACGGTCATGTTGGACATGAGAGCAAACACACTTGATGAGATAGCAGGTTGCAGCAAAAATTTTTAAAAATACTTTTTTCCTAAAATTTGATCTATAACTTGAGGTGGTCTTGGTGATGTCTATGTTCTTGAAAATACTATGTTGAAGAAACAGGTATGTGCATGCTTGCAGCACTTTTCTTGAGCTGGTTGAGAGTAGCTGGTTCTACAAACGTCACTCACAAAACATGACGCTGGATGAGTAGGAGCTCCATAGTATGTACTTTAGGATGAGGCCCAGAACTTGCCTTTATGTTCTAATCCCTTAATGTGTTCTGTCTTTGTTTCTACAGATGAATTGTAAATATCTGCCAGAACATTTTAGGAGTTATTTGTACACCTTAGTACCATAATTATTAATCATATTTTGGCTGATGCTAACTTGATGCCATTAGTGCAGTTGGTTGTTGCACATCTGGTATTTTTTCACCTTTATAAGAGGTGAGCAGAAATAAATGCTGTACATGTTGTTTGACCTACTGTGTTGAGCATCCTCACTAATCGCATGGTCATTTTGGATACAACACAGACAACTTTGAAGACTTTCATAGATATATAAAAATACATAGATACATGTACATATGTATACATATATATATGTATATATACACACATTATGTATGTCTGCTTGCTCCTAAATGAATTTAGAATTAGTTCTACATAATTTTCCTGGTATCTCTTGTTACGGGTACCACGCAGTGGAATGCCTTCTCAGGAATCATATTAGACTTAGGGTTGACCAACATATGTGTGAAGGACAAGGTGTTTTGGCCTTAAAAACTTTGGCAGTACTTGAAATGTTTTCTTGTTTTGAAATCCTGAAATTCGCTCAGGAAATTGGTATTCCCTTCCGATTTTTCTGACTTACTGAGCAAGAGTGTTGAATACATCTTTGTAAATGTAATGTTTTGATTTATAATTTTTATTTTAGTAATTGAATTTATCGATAATCTTAATAAATAAGGAAAAGTAGTTGCTTAATTTCATGTAACCAGCACTCTGCGTAGCGGGCACTTGAGTTCCAACTAGGATACCTTAAGAGATTGTGTGAATTTGTTTCAAGTTAATTTTAGGTGCCATTGTGAAGCATGTGGCTAGCAGTGCTTGGTATACAAGTGTGCTGCCTTTTTTCCAGGAGTCAGCAATACCCAATAGGTAATATTGTTTGTTACTCGTAACAGGAGAGGGAGGGTGTCAGGTTTCCTTTTGAGAACCTGTAATAAGTGGCTGTGTGTTACCAGTGATCCCAGAAAGAAACTGCACTGTACTGACAGACACTTCACTGCATTTTGTTCTGTTAGTCAGGGCAGATTCCTACCCTGAGCCCTAACATTTTTCATTCTGAGAAGTTCTGTGCAATTTCAGTTTAACAATGCAGTTAAGTATTGATACATTAGTTAAAACTGGGAAAATATATTTAGAAATTTGTCACATAGGTTTGTGTTGCTTTGTGCAGGTTGAGATCTTTTATGAATTTGTTTTATATTTTTTATTATTTAAAAAAAATGGACCTCTAAGAAACACAGTAGATATTTTCCCTGATATGTAGGCTTTATTTCCTGGTGTGAGCATACTGGTGAGATGCCCTTTTGAAACTTTATGTTGTTTGACAGATGATTAGTTAGTTTTAGATTATATACCTAGGTTTTGTTTCATACTTCCTCTTCTAAAGCATGTGAATCACACGAAGTTTGGTAAAGAGTCTCAGTAGAGCACCTGAAGATGACAGGACTTGTATAATTAATCTCATTCTATAGCAACTTTCACTTTTATGTAGTTGAATATGCTTTTAAAAGTAGGGAACACCAGGTTAAGACTGTCATAAGTCTGTTTTCCTTTGTGTTTGTCTTTGTGTACTCACTGCTAGTGTAGGTTTGTTGAATACAATAAATACTTTTTTTGAAAGTGATTTTCCATTGAAAGTTGAAGTAAGTGGCTACAAATTATAAGATACTGAGTACCTTAGTACCTTACATTTCTTGAAATGATGCTACTAATAAATACTCTCTCTTGGATCTGCCTGTTGTGCTTTTCTTATTCTCACATTTGCTTATTTAGTGTCATCTGAAAATTTCCTGTGGATTCTTGAAGGTGGTTTTGTTAAAGAGAAGACTTTTCTTTTAAACAGATTTTGATTTTCTTTTATTATTTGATGCAACTACAGTGCTTGATTGAGGTGAAAGAGAAATCTAATAGCTACCTATATAATTTTCTTCTTCTGTTGTTATTATGTAGATATGGTTTTGGACAGCATGATTGCCTCTGGCCAGCTGGATGAATCCATGAGAGAGAAAGTGAGAGAGGCTCTTCTAAAGAGGCATCATCATCAGAACGAGAAGAAATTCAGCAGTCGGATTCCTCTAGTTCGGTCTTTCGCAGATATAGGCAAGAAACATTCTGACCCTCACTTGCTTGAACGAAATGGTGAGATAAGTTGTAGCCTCCAGTTGATACTAACCCAGTAAATGATGCTCTCACTGGGAGATGAAGGGAAGGTCAGCTGGTAATAACAGATAAGTGTCTCCTTCTTGATGAGCAAAGAACTAACAATAAGAGTGTGTTTGATGTGTAGCTGTGGATGATATTTCTTAATTTAGTCAAATATTCTACTCCTGCCTGTATACCATAGCATGCATTATTGTTTTGGAGCATAGTATTAGACATTCATCGATCCTAATGATTTTTTGGTATATGCTGAAGTAAAATGTGCAATGTTTGAGGAATTTCAGCATTGTGGCATAATTTATACATGTGTCAGATGGATTCTACTTGCTTTTACAGTCTTTGCGCAAAAGATTTAGTGATCATGAGTTCAGTGATGTGGACAATTGCTGTGTTTTAACCCAGTGTTATGTTCATTTGACAGGAAGTTTGCTATGCCAATGGTGAAAGTAGTACTGTTAGCTAGAACACTGTTTATTTTTATCTTATTTTGTAGAGAAGGGTCTAATGGGAACAAAAATCCCAAACCCAAGAAAGATATTAGCAATGTTCTTAGATGTCTTTTTTGAACCAGTTCCTGAAAATTTATTCTAGACATCCAGTCCCAAATTCTAAATAGCAATATGTACTACAGAGCAGCTTACTTGTATTCTTGTGTTTTTATGGGGCCTCTATTTTCATCTGTTTTTTGCTTCCTTTTGCCTTGCATTAAGTAAGACACAGATTTTTTTACTCTGAAAAAAATAAAATTTTTTACGCTGGTGAAAACTTAATTCTGATTTCACGAATCAGTCCTTGAAGTGAACTTCCTTTTCTGTCTTGAAAGACACCTCATTACTTAGAGCATGTTTCACTTACTTAAGTGCTTGTTAGGAGCTACATATGCTGGAATATTCTCCAGTGAATGACTGAGCTTGCTGACAGATTTGTTTGTTAGCCAGTGCATATATGATATATGGTTAAATATTTCTCCAATAGCTTCAGATTTATTTTTTCAAGAACAAAAATGCAGCTAATTTATCTAAGAGTATAATGTCTCCTGTAACTCCTGACTTAGATGCTTTGTTCAGCAAACATGAAAATTTCACGCACACAGACTTGGTTTTGCCCATCCTTGAACACCTGTATCCCCAGGTATAATTATGCAAATTTGAGTTCTCTTTCTTGCTAGTTACCGTTCATGTATCACTTCCATTTTTTTAGAGCATTTTGTTCTTAACATTCTTTGTACAAGATTATGGAATGTATGCTGAAACAAGCAACCAGTATAGTATGATGAACTCCTTGTCAGCATGTACTGATTTTCTTTTTATTATGCATTGATAACTTTTCTTTTTATTATTATAGCATCTAATAAGCTGGTAAGCCAAACATGCCTATGTGCAATATTAGTTCTTAGGCACCTTAGGAGGTTGTGTGTTTTAGGACACATTTGTGATTTATCTCAGGTATACTTACAGAATTTAGTTATTACTGTAGTGATTATTATAGGCAACCAAATCTACTCTATTGGTCCTATTTTCTTTACAGCTCTGCATTTTTGATGTTTTAATAATTGAGTTTTTTTAGGCTTTTGTTCTTAAATCAGGTTTGTATCTGTAGGATCCACTCTTTCATTTTTGGAATGGGGGAGCGAAGGAAGGGAGTGTACGAGACCTTTACCTAGGCATGCTTTCTGCACCTCCTTCTTGTTAATTATTCTGGGGTTGTTCTACTTACTGGTCTCTATATTGCTTGGTATAAATGCGAGAGTAAATGTATCTAGTTTGCTGTTTCCTTGTTTGATGGCATGGTACATGAAACCAGCATGTTTTGGATTTCAGGGATTGTAGGAGAAGTCATCAGTAATGTTTTCAAGGAGACTGGTCATCCCAAGAAAAGTGTTTGTGGCAAATGGGAGAAATGGTATCACTAAACGTTCTAATGGAAGTACTAATATGAGCATAAACAGTCTCTCTTCCTGCTTAAGGAAGAACTGAAAAATCCATTACAAACTCCAGTCTGAAGGAACCATCACAAGACTGTGTTCTCTCCATAAGAAATTAGTGAGACATGGAAACTAGAGCAACAAAAGTAACAAGGGATTTTGGAGAAATGTTTGGTTTTAGCCATATGGGGCTATTGGTAAGTCACAGCAAGAGGATATGGAGAAGGGGCTGTGTATCTCATTTTTGTGCCCTCTTCAAAAATATATGTTAGACTACAACTGCCTGGGGAAATTCTCAGTAAAACAAGACTTTTATTGGAAGACAGTTGCATTTAACACATTTAGGTATGTTTGGTCATGATCGCTTTTTAAAAATTAATAATTCTTTGTACATAACAGAGTTAACAGAACTCTTGTAGTATTTTGGATGCTAATGATTTTTTAATTTATTTTTGTATGGATTAACAGTAGCTGCTGTGCAATTTGGAATAAGGAATTCTGGAAAAATTGAAGAGTCAGTTTCAAGATATAAATTTTTTTTTGTTTAACAAATCTTACTCTGACTTAAGATATCTTTTCCTTCAGATCTTCAGCATTCTAATTAGTGCTCCTCAGTAATTTCTGACTTTCCTAATGTCTGGTATCAGATCTGCTCTTATCTCATACCTTTCGTGCATGACAATGACACTTTGGCCCATAAAGCTTGCAATTTACAATGTAAAATGTTAATTCATATTTGTATCTGTGTGGATTTGTTTTGTTTTAATTTAATATACTCTATCCCTTTTGTAAGCCTCATGGTGTTCCATTTGTTTTATCTCAGGGGAAGGCCTTTCAGCCTCCCGCCACTCTTTGCGAACAGGTCTCTCTGCTTCAAATCTTTCCCTGAGAGGAGACAGCCGTTTGTCGGTTCTTCTCAGTAACCTTCTTCCTTCTTCAAGAGCTGGGACCCCGGCAGCCTCAAGGTGTACAACCCCTGTAACCACCCCTCAAAACACACCACCCTCCAGCCCTACCTGCCGCCCAACCACACGTGCCCAGCCAAGCCCACCTCAGGGCAAGGAATTGCTGGTGTCACCTGCCAGTGATGATATTCCTTCAGTAGTAATCCACCCACCTGAGGAGGACTTAGAAGTGCAGGAAAGCCAGGAAAAGAAGACAGAGGAAAATATTGGCAAAACACCAGGCAACTATTGAAATTTAAGCTGTCCATGTGTGATGCTCTCTGCATCTGGATCACTTGCACTGCAATGTTTTTTGCACAAAGAAATATGATAACTACTACCTCTGCCTGCATGTTTATTTCTTCTCAGTTGTGACTGTCTTCTTGTTTGGCATTTTTAACTTTTTAGCTTTTAACTAAAGCAAGCAAAAAATGAATTAACATTCATTTGTGTAATTAAAAAGGAATATGGTTTTTAAATCTAATATATAAACAAAATGTCAAAAATGGTGGCCTTTTCTTTTCACTCACCTACAGTCCATAGCAGGTTTTGCTTTGGTTTTGTCAGTGGTTGAGTCAATGTCTTAAACCAGTGTTGAATAGCCTGAGACCATGGATAGCCGAAACCATGGTAAAGTATTAGAGGTGAATATGAAAAGAATTAGGAAGGATACAATTATCAGTAGCATTCATAGTTTAGTTGTATTAGAAGCTTTCAAGCAGTTTTATTTTTGCCTTTGTGCTTTTTAAAACATGACTGTTAAAACCAGCAGTAGTTAACTGATGAAATGGTCAGGTTCAGTTCACCTGCAGCTGTTTCCGGATAGTTGTCCATCAGTGCACTGCTTTAGCATCAGACACTCCATTAGTGTTTTGTTGTGCTTAATATGCAAAATTGGAGACAGTAGTTAGAAACTTTTAATTGTAGGCCAGAACTCAGCAATTTATTATTTTGTTATCTGCAAAACTATTCCTTTATATGTAAAAAGTTATGTAGGTGTATAGATGAACAAAACTGTTAGAACTTTCCATCCTTTCTTGGAATTTTTTTGGTAAAAGTTTTAGAACTGCTTTCTGCATACATACTGTTACACTTGCTTTACTTTTGCAAAATTACCACCTATTTAGAAACTTCACAATTCTACTTGGCAGATTATGTTTTTAAGGGGGAATAGTCTTTCTTTTTGGTCTTCAGGCTTTTCCTCCCCTTCCTAGAAATTTGTCTTGCCAAAATCTAGCTTATAGGTTTTACTGCGTTAGGCCTGTGTGTGTTGGGAGTGCAGGGGCTGATCTCCCTTGGTTCTTCCTTCAGCTGAGACTTTGCTTGGTTTCTTCCTCACTTATTTAATAAATAAGAGCACACTGTTACATTTAACAGTGGAAATATGCTGACAGAGAAGAAAGAGGCTGTGGTTGTCTGCCTTTTCACATTGGCAGTCAAGTCACTGAAAAGGAAAGAAACTGTCATAGTTTCTTTTCTTCAGTTGAAGTATAGAGGCCTCATCGTTACTTAAATTCAGAAAAGCAAACACAAATCTCTTTTTCTGACTTCCTTATGAGAAATTAAGAGGCTTCATGTGATGATATTTCTGTCACAGATCACCTTCCAAATATGCTTAGAAATCAGAAATAAATTAATAGCTGTAATGTTTTTCCTGTTCTCAGTTCTCTGACAGGAATGACAGCATGCCAGACACAAGTTCCATAGAATCCAGGAGAAGGCAAATAAATAAAGCTCAAGTACATGATGCTATTACCATCATCACTAGTAAGGCTTTCTACTAGAATCTCCACATCATACTCAAATCAGTTTTGTTCCTCATGCAGGTGTTTCTCGTAAAGAAAAAAGACCTGAAAGGGATGATTTCCCAGTTAATCCATGAGTCTTTCCAGAGAATGATAAACACAAACAACGAAGATATTTTTTGTTTTCTGGGGTTTTCCCCACTTTTTTAGTTCAAGAAATCATCTGACCACAGAAAAACGTGGTTTTTCCTTAGATTTGCTTTTGAAGACATTCTCAGACTATGACTTCAGGGCTGCAAGTGGACCAATTTCTGTCTTGGGAGACAAGAGTCAAAGAAAACCCTGACAAGGAAGTCAACTTCCTGGTATTAATTAAGAAAAAAAACAATCTTCCTGGTGTATTCCACTATAGGTTGTGGTCTGTATCACGTCTCCAGTAATACAGAATATTGCAGTGTGAATACATTTTACACATCTGTATGATTGAGTTTGGTTTGCCTTCTCTGAGCATGAGGAGCTCTGTTAATTTTCTAATAGGTGTTTTTTTTTTCTATTTACATTCCTCTGTCATTTGCCTTATGTTATTCAGACTTTTATTTTTTAGTTTTCATAAATAGCTGGAAGGTTACTGAACTTAATGTGAGTTACTGTAAAAGGAGGGAAAAGAGACACACCTTTGGTCTACCACTTAATTTTAATCAGCCAGTCATCAGTTCATAGTAAGTCAACTAAACAAAGGCTTCTCTTAATAATGTTTTTTTAATTTTTTCATCAGTTGAAGAGCAGTGTTTGTTTTCCCATCTTTGAACTGTTGAATAATGAATTCCATGGGAAGGGCTGGGAAGTGAGCTGTGTCACAGCTAAAAATTAACACTGTTAATTCACCAGCATCACTGAGGTTTTATAATGTCTGTGAACAACAGCAAAGAAGTCTATTTTAAGAGGTCTTTTGGTCCACTGATAAATGTACTTTAAAACTGAGCAAAATAACATTTACAACTTTCCTCTTACAGTATTTTTTCCTGAAAACAGTGATTCAGAGAAGTTTGCATATTTGCTCTCTAGTAGTAATTTGAACTTTTTTTTTTTTTTGCATTAGAGCTGCATTGGAATTTAGTTTTAAAAATTGATTTTCATTTCCTCAAGTACAAATATGGTTGAATTTATATTTAGAAGATCTGTATTATATAATTTTTGCCTTTCTAAATACTATTTTGGAATAGTCATGCTTAGATGTTGAACTCATATATTACTCATCTTTTCATATGAAACAGATGTGAGACAACTGTATGTAATCATGTTGCTTTCTTTTTTCTGTAGATAACATTGATTAGATTTTTGTGATCACAGTATTAAATGTTGTTGGCTAGAAAAAGCACATGGTCTTTAGTGAAGGTGTAGTTATAAATACATTAACTTGAGTTTGAGGTTTTATTCCAAATTACTCAAGACTTACTCCACTGTAGTCTTTCAGAGGAGATGAGTGATCCATCTGCTGAACTAATATCAGGAAGAGCACTGGGTTTTTAAGGATCCCCTCAGCAGCTTCATAACAATGAGTTTCTCTGTCTTAAAATCTGAAAAGTACTTCTAGGTAGTTTCCCTTGAGTTTGCATCTACTGAACTGAGAAGAGAGGGAAATAAATTCTTTTATTAACGTGAGATCGGAATGGAAGTGTTTCACTTCTGTTAAAGATTAATTCATGGGTTCAGAGTTTCTCTATAAATAGCAGATTGATGGATATGTGTAATGAAGGCAGGCTTGTATGGAAGTGCTTGCTCAGGTCTGAAAACCTGTGAGCAGTATTCTCTTGTGAGAGCAGCAGTCTGTCCAACTGCAAGGCCAACAGAAAGGAAAACTATTCACACATGGTTTAGGATCGGACAAATATTCCTGTGTCAGTGCCAAAACTTGTGAGCCTTAACTGTGACTGTTTGGTGAAATTTTGAAGGCAAACCTTTTAGAAGAATCAGTATCGCTTTAGCACTGAAACAATAATATTTCTGCTAATATGTAGAATCCTTATTCTCTGTCCTTCTCCTTGACTGTCTCTCAGTTTTTTATTCTAGTCTTTGCTTGCTCTTGCTCACAGTGCTTTTCCAGAAAGTGCAAAACAATGCATTATGGCTCATCTTTCATCAGTTAAAACCATTTTAAGTTACCTGTATTGCTACAGAGAAGGGGCAAAAATGAAGAATATACAAACTTTTGTATTATGCTGCTCTTCTGCAACAACGGTTTAGTGTTTCTTTCTAGTTCTACAGACATCAGCTCCTAAGCAGTTAAATACTTAGATCAGCTGATTTCATAGGTGGTTGGTAGTACAGTTCTTGTGAATAACATAAATCTTGA